TGGAAAATGTAAGAAGTAGAAAGTACAGGTATTTGTGTTCAACATGTAAGAAGTAGAAAGTACAGGTATTTGTGTTCAACATGTAAGAAGTAGAAAGTACAGGTATTTGTGTTCAACATGTAAGAAGTAGAAAGTACAGGTATTTGTGTTCAACATGTAAGAAGTAGAAAGTACAGGTATTTGAGTTCAACATGTAAGAAGTAGAAAGTACAGGTATTTGTGTTCAACATGTAAGAAGTAGAAAGTACAGGTATTTGAGTTCAACATGTAAGAAGTAGAAAGTACAGGTATTTGTGTTCAACATGTAAGAAGTAGAAAGTACAGGTATTTGTGTTCAACATGTAAGAAGTAAAAGTAAAAAGTCTTCAGAAAAATAAGTAGTGGAGTAAAGTACTACTTCCCACCTCTGGTCATATGTCTCTCCCCCCTGCTGTGCTAAATGTTTTCTTCTGAAGGATTGATAACGTCAGGACTTAGACGCCATGTATCAATGCTGAATATATTTTACATTCAGACAATAATCGACTCAACATGGGTTGGCTAAGTGAACTGCAATTTGGAAAAACCCATCAGGGATTCTTGTCCTCTCCTTGCTCTCTGTCTTCAAGTTTCTCCGCAGCATGTTAGTGTGTTAAAATCATTTCTAACAAAAGCAAGGAGAGCATACGTTGAAGTGAGAACACATTGTTTTACTCCCTGTAGCCAAGCAGTCTGAGCAGTTAGTAATGCGAATCAGAAAGACTTATCTCAGCCCTATTTCAAGTCACTCTGCATTTTTGTCGAGAGTAATAGAAAGTGAAAGTTTCCATGCCGAGTTCTGCCTCAGCTCAAAACACATGTAGAAGGAAGAGGAATCCCCGTCCACTGCATGTTACACATTACATGTATCTGGCAATAACAAAGTAAATGGAAAGCAATGGTAGAAATAATTAAATGATAAGTGTGTTTGATTCGTTGACATTTGACAATTCCACAATTCCACATTTCCAGCTGTGCAGGCAGCAGCAGTAGCTTGTGAGTTAATTAGATCGGTCTGATAAAAAGGGACGTTGGGCAATGTCAGTTTTTCAAGATTTCTCCGGCATTTCGCATGTTTCCCCCCCCC